TAGACCAACACTGCTCCATATAAATATCCTCATTACATTATTCCAATATAGACTATACAGTATACCTATTATGTTAATATAACACATCATTTTGAGAATGAGGTCGCATAGAAAGTCTTCATATTTTTTGTATGCTTTTGAAACTTATAGCTTCGCCAATTATATTAACTATCATTTAAAGCCAGTCAAGTTAAACTTTTTAATTAATTAATTTTTGTCTAACGCATTATTCGTACAAGAATTTGTTTTGATTCTTTTTTAAAGATTGCGCCTTGCTTTAAATACTTTTTAGTTTGCAATTAGTAAAACCGGCTGTAAACTATGACTCCATATACGTGATGTCTCATATAAGTGATGAAGTGGCTCAAACATTAGTATAAGTTTTAGATGTCCCAGAATTGGACCCTGACTAGAGAATTGTTTCTAATTGGAAGACGCAGAGGAATGACTTATTTGCGTACGAAAGTTGCATTTGAGGACGAAGAAAGATTTATTCCATTTGTGAATAAGGACATTTCATCCCTAAAATATATTGAATGGAATTTTATTGCATTGTAAATTATGTAAATCAAGTAGGAAAGAACGCTTGGTTGACGCCATAAACTCCATAAAGAGAAGTCTAGTTTCCTTTTTCATATATGACTTGCGCCCAACGACCTTGTTATTGGCTTCTAATGATGATTATAAATTGTACTTGATTTAATATGATACTTCAAGCTTAGCGCATAACAAAAAATACTGTGTATACTTTCTTTTGAAAGCAGTTTGTGTCAATTAGCCAACATAGTAAATAGTATTTTTATTTATTTATTTCAGTTAATCCTACAGTTAACATAAATTATATATAACAAACAATAATTATACTAAAGATATAGCCAAAGATAGAATACATAATATACACAAAAACATTTACGAAAGGAAAAATATTAAATACAAGTAATACCTAATTCGGCTGTGTTCTGTGATGGTGTGAAAGTGAGTGTGTATGTGGGGTGTGCTCATGAAGCAGATGATTTAGCGCTATGGATATTCTTATTACTCACTCAAGCATATTCCACGCTATCTTAAACAAGTCGAGACTGAAATAGTGGTCGTTGTATGACCGGGCTGCGCGATACAAAACTGAGTTTTTTGAATAGTTGGTGTTGATGCGCGGGACGTATAACAAAACACGATTACGAGTCTGATAGGGAGGAACATGAAAGTGCAATTTTTCTAGAATTATACGTATCCTCGCGAATTCATTACATTATCTAATAACTCATAACATAACATATAGTGGAAAGACATATAAACTCTTTTGCAAAAAAAAAACGGGCACCTAAGGAAATTTACGTTATAAGTTCGATTTCAGTTTATTAAATGAAATATACTCGTAATTGTCTGACGTAGTCTGTATATTTATTATTTATTATTTTAAATTACTACGCGTGAATTAATTTCTGACGATTTTTTTAATAAATAGTTTATTTGATATTATGATAACTTTGGGTAAGATCTGAGTCGTGGACTAAGTATGTCTTATGTAATTAAAAATTTATTGCATTACTTTATTAACATTCTATTGAAATTCCGTTTATAGCCGCGACAAGTCCTCTATGACACAAGGGCAAACTATATTTTTATAAACGTATACTTCTTCGGTGTCTTAAAACATAATGAAATACAACATATATCATAGAAATTGTAATAAATCAAAGTACCGTTGATGTTTTCACACTATGCTGCTAAGAGTGTAAATTGTTCAATGTTGTAATCATAGACTTCTGAAAGCGTTTTTAATATTTGAAATTTTAACATTAACTCATCATTCAAATGAAAAGGTATGTTAGGCTTTTAAAAACATAAGCGTTGATATACAAACCTCTAGATTTTTTATTCGGTTAAAAAAACAAGTGCTATAGGTGAAAAATAAATCAAATCTTTATATACGACTTATAGTTAGTCCCGGTCGTAGGTTCGATCCCTGGCTGTGCACCAATGGACTTTCTTGCTATGTGCGCGTTTAAAATTCGCTCGAACAGTGTAGGAAAATATCGTGAGGAAACCGGCTTGCCCAAAAAGTCAACGGTGTATGTCAGGCACATGAGGCTTATCACCTACTTGCCTAATAGATTGACAAATGATCATGACAGATATAGAAATATGAGGCCCAAATATAAAAAGGTTGTAGCGCCACTGATTATATATTTATTGGTGATAATTAAATTTGGTCTCTTATTTTCTACTAGAATGGCAGACACAAGGAATATTGTATATCATAATTAAGGAAGTAACAACAGAATTATAAAACCGAACAAATTCAAGTTTTTGATATTTTAATTCTAAGAAAATCGGTCTTTCATTTGCCGTTTTAGTTATTTGAATAATCAAGAGATAGCGTAAAATTTGTTAAATAAATTTTAAATTATACTGTCAAAGACTATATTGAGGACAAAAAGGCTTGGGATTGAGCTGCTCCAATAAATTTAGGGTAGGGCGGGGCTAGTTGAGCAATTTTTCACTTGCTTGGATATAGCTCCTCAATGATAAGTCTCAATGAGTTGTTATGTGTCCTGATGGATTAGTAATTTATCCCTTAACAAAAGTGTCCATAGTATTTTTTTGTAACAAGTCCAATATAATAGCTACAGATGTTTAAATGCAGAAAGTCAAGTATGCTCAATGTACCCCATGGGTGGGGTAAGTTGAGCAAGGGTATGGGGCAAGTTGGGCACTAAGAATGTCTAGGCCAAACCATGGGTTCTATGTTAACTTGAAATGAAATAAAATATGTGTTAGACAGTCAGCTTTTTGTTTATAGTCTTTTATTGACAGAACAACAAAATTTGAAGAAATTTTCTTTGTATAATCAACCGAAACTAGAATGAACAAAACATGAGCATCCATATCTATCCATTACTTCCGATAATTTCTAAAAAAAGATTACCAAGGCTGGTGGGTTCTGGTTTCTGTATGGATAGCTACGATTTTTTTGTTTTTAAAACATCATCAACCATTCTTTTCCGGAAATCTTTTTTGCAATTCAGCTTGGTGGAATTTCAGCACACTCTTAGGCAAGGCGACGGACGTCTTTTGGAGAAAAATGCCATTTGCAGCAAGAATTTTTTCAACAGTTCTCTTGTGAGAGAGGATATACTTCCCTCGGTGTTGTATAGCCCATAAATGAATCATCACCTTCATTTAATTTATTTAAAAGTCAACCAATTCAGAATTCTTTAGCGGCGGTATTCACACTTTTTCCCTCATCGTGGACAGCCTTTGCAGCATTATTTAAGTATTCAGTAGTGTAAGAATATCTTGTAGTCTTTCTCTTGTAAGTCCGCATCCAAACAAAAAATAAAAGATTCATTACTCATCAGTTGTTTAAGTCGTAGAGTTAGTTGAGCTATAGTTGCTCAACTTACCCCAACCCGGAATTTTAAAAGAAAAGTAGGATTGTAAATAAATGCCTAGAATTAGACCCAAAACCTATTTACAAATCAAAAATACAATAATCTTCTGAAAGATTAACACTCTCCTGATTGAAAACAGAGAACATTTGACAAAGACAGACGAAAACTTGCGATAAACAATGTTTTTACTTTTTGGTCACAAAATAAACAAAACGCCGTGACACTTCACTCACTCGTCGAGCTGCCACTAGCTATTGTGCGATGATTACCTCTCCTACCACTCCTTCTTTTCGCTATTTGATACTCCCGCGTAAGGTGAATAGTTTCCGAGATATTTCGATTGCCCAACTTGCCCCTATGCTCAACTAGCCCCGCTCTACCCTACACAATTAATGTTGATTTAAATACCTTTTTACATACTCTATGTACAATGACATGAATATTTACTTTGTAAAGTATTACTTGTACTATTTTTAATTATTGTGAATGTGAAGACTACGTGGATCATTGTTTTTTATTTATTTTATCCTATTCTCAGTTTTAGTCATAGTCTGACAGTTTGAGTAATTTATGCGGCCTACCCAAATGTCTTGTCTTTGGACTTGACAGGTCCACTCAATTTGTGTGGTTATTTCCTCAAAAGACCATTTCAGACTGCAATCTACATGGTCTTCACATAATCTTGTTATGTCTGGACTTTAAAAGAGACTGTGACCTCTGAGTTTGTTTCGGCGTTTCTTCTCAGAGTAGTCAGATAGGAAACATCGATCTCATCTAGTTTAAAAAAATATATGTTTGACTTGTAAAAGTGTTTGTAAAAACCTACTTACAGAAATAAATAAAAAAAAAAAAAAAATTATAGTAGGTATACATTATTACGGTTAACAAGTAAAAACTTCTAAGATTATCCAAAGCAAAATACGGTGTATAAATAGCATGATGGATGCGAGCTAATAGAATTTTGTAGGTCGACTTTATGCTTAACCTAACACCTAAATGAAACCACAAACTACAAAGTAATAAAATTCTGCTACAAATAGTATGACCCAAATTGTAGTGAATTTTCTGGAAAAGGAATATTAATATCTTCCTGGTTGCGGAGTGCTACATAGACGTCGAACTCTTAATATAGTCTCCATTTGCCATTTTTCTTAATATAATCTGTTATCTAATAAATAAAATTCTCGTGTCACAATGTTCGTTCACATACTCCTCGGAAACGGTTCGACCGATTCTTATGAATTTTTTATGCATATTCAGTATGTCTGAGAATCGGCAACTATCTATCTTTCAAACTCCTAAGTGATAAGGGGTGTCCACCGTACAATTTTAAGTTTTTTGTGATACAGGATACAAAAGTACATACAAACCTTGATTTTCACCCCTCTACGAACAACCCCTATTTTTTATTATTGTAGATAGTTATTTCTGATGACAAACGTTTGCCGGGTCAGCTAGTAAAAATTAAAAATAGCCTATATTTGAGTACTATAATAATGATTACATTAAGTTGTTGATATTGTATTTAATATTAGTACTACACACTACTACTACTACAGTTTATTTGTTATAAGTTAGTTTTGTTTTCTGAAATTAATTGAAGCAATGCAGTTTGTTCCCATAGCCGCAAAACAACTGGCTTATAAAATCTTTGTGCTGTGTAAATTGGTAATTATTGCTTTATTACTTACTTGACAGGATTACAAAATCAATAGGTCGTATGCAATAGATTTTCATGCAATACACGTCTGGAGTTTTTGCCTTAACAAGTTGTTCGCAGACTGCTAATAAAATTGCCAACAATACAAGGGCATAAGTCCTCTGTTTTACATATAACTTACTAGCTGACCGGGCAAACGTCGTTTTGCCATGTATATCATTTATAATAAAAAAATAGGGGTTGATCGTAGAGGGGTGAAAGTTAGGGGTTGTATGTATTTTTTAATGCTGTATCATAAAAAATATAAGTAATTTATCTAAAAATTTTAAAAAATAATTTAGGGGTGGACTACCCTTAACATTTAGGGGGATGAAAAATAGATGTTGTGCGATTTTCAGACATACACAATAAGCACACAAAATTTCATGAGAATCGGTCAAGCCGTTCCGGAGGAGTATGGCAACGAAAACAGTGACACGAGAATTTTATATATTAGATAATAATTGCAATACTAATTAATCATATAGCCAGTTTTATTGTCTTAGTAACTACAATGATTGATGTATAGTTAATAACATATATCTAATATTACCTACTGGCTTTATAATCTAGGCGCTTCATACTAAAATTTTAAAAGTCGTTATATATCTTCTATAAATAAGTATGTAATTTAAGATATTCGTTAAGTCGCAAGTGATTTACGTCACGTAACAGTTTTCAAGTTTTTGTGTCTAACAATAACATCGCAATTAATATAATTGTTCAATGGTCGAACAATTACGGAAATATATGTGGATAATTATTTCTTACAATTGTATGTGAGTAGGCTTTTGAAAATGCTTCCTTAATCTTGTTTCTAGAGTGTGGGTGAACATATTATTGCTCTAATAAAAGTTTGAAACAAACTGTCAATGTATGAGTCTAGAATATACTACACAAAAGTTCGACTCTTGCAACGAAATTTCCTACATATCTAGAGTTTTAGAGGTATTTATGGCTTAGTGGTATTTGGTTCGCATATAGAGTATGGCGGTCCTGAATTAGTTCCGAAACTGTTATTATGGATTGGAATGCTAAGAAATGTCGATCTACTAATTGCCTTAAGAATTTATTAATTTATTATCGTTCTCCATCTCTTATATTCCATCCTGTTCAACCCTAAAACTCCTTCCTATCTCAAAAACAATTTTAAATTTTTGGGAGCCCATAGTCATACCTTACGCTCTTTCGAAAACTGTATCGATGAAATCCCATCTCATAACTCCTCCTTGCTTGGCGAATCCTTTAAGGTCTCTGCAGTTAGGCTATGGAATTGACTTACCGTCCCTATTCGCTTAGCTCTTTCTCTATCTTCCTTTAAATTTCTACTGCACATTACCTGTCCACATCGTATCCCTAACTTTCGTACTAACTACTAACTGACGTGAAATACTGACTGATCTAAAATTATCGTGATTCATGTGCACTTTTTATTTTTCATGTAGATCCTTTTTAGTTTAATTTTTTGTTTCTGTTTAGTTTTGTCTTAATAACTTTATGTATTATGTATATTTGAACTTCTTGCTTACCTTATCTTATTTAATACATTGTTTTTCACAGTGGTTGCCTGGAAGAGATCGCTCGAAAGCGATAAGGCCACCAGTTGCCCTCGTATTCATTAAATTATGTTAAATTTTTATTATGTTCATGCAACGAAGCGTTAATTAATCTATAATATAAAAATGAATCGCAAAATGTGTTGGTAAGCGCAAAACTCAACAAAGCCTGGACCAAACCTATTATTTCTTTTTTTATAATATTCCTTGAAGTATGAGGATGGTTCTTACGGAGAGAAAAATAAAAAAATTGAGTGAAAAAGTCTAAAAACAACACTATTCTATATTTCCATACAAAATATTCGTAATAATACTTAAAAGTCAATTTGAACTTTAATACCATATCATAAACTTCAAGTGTTAGTAGAGGGGTTCCGGGAAGGTAAATTTTTATTTTTTGACATAATGTATTTGTTGTCTTATCAACTTTCTTTTTTTATCTTACTAGCTAAACCGGTGTCTCGAAGTGCAGAATAAGTATTTAAAAAAAATAAAGAATCGACTGTTAGGCGGTACGATGTTCGCCAGGCCAGCTAGTAATAAATAAAAATTAATTAAACTTGTAGAAAAGTCTGCCTTGGCTAACACAAACAATAGTTTTAAAGCAATGTGTATATTTTTTGTTCTTTACTAAAAATGCTTTAACATTGTGTTGGACTATCAAAAACTAAATCTCGACTATTAAAACTCGAGAAATTTACTCTTGCAATTGTCACTGAGCAGTAGTGTATGCATCAGCTGTTCGCTAAACATTATCATTGAGATAGATAGAATATGAAAGAGGGCCTATAGCCCAAAAGAAAACTACTATAAATAGCAACTATGCTATATTTATATCGTATATATCTTCCTGCAATATGTGTTTAACTAGTCAGTTGCATCACATTCATTGACCTAACTTGTATGCCGTGAGTTGATGCGGGTATTTCGTAGACTAAGTTAATTTGCGTAAAAGTTAGCAAGCGTTGTAATTGAGTATGCATGATTTGTTATCTGAGAAAATACTTACGCAACAGGGGGAATTACGATGAAAGGTTAACTTGCGAGTACTGTTATTGAAAACTATTATCACATTAACTGTTTTGTAAAGACAAATAATAATAACTGAAAAGTCTCTTCATAGTCGACTTCTCTTAAAACAAGTAAAGTTTTATATCTTAAAGAATTAAATATTAAGATCTGTTGTATATTTAAAAAAATATAAATTATTTCAAAACAAATGGTGACTTTCACAAGAATAATACTCGAAACCGAACAAATCTAATCGTACGACCAACGAACCAATTTGTATGACTCAAAACTTGGCGATTAAAAAGATTGGCGGAGAGTTTCTTGCCAGTTCTTCTTGCCCGCTCTACGCCCTTAACTTGCGAACTGGTATTAAATGTAAATTTAGAATCAATTTAACATCTTTTCTGTTAACGTTCATAAATGTAGTTGGTTGCCCAATACCTATATAGGTATCCATATGGATAAAGTTATTTTAAGTTTGAGTTTATTAATTTACAATATCTTATAAATTTAAATATAATATTTCTAAAAGTGCCAATCACAATATTTGGACTTGATGTATTACATTTACTAAAATACGGCTTTTAAAACTAGATTTTGCTTGATGATATTTTTGGACAACACTGTAATTAATTTCAGTATTAGTAATGAATGGGATGGCATAGTAATTTAACTAATATTATAAATTCCTCAACAAGAAGCTCACTTAACATCTTTACCTTCAAACTACAATATCAGTTACTCACTCTAGGTGCTAATTTGTTAAACAATTACATATAAACATTACCTACGCATGGTAAAACAATGGAACTTAAATGTTATTAATTTAGAATCGTCCTCGCCATTAAGTAATACAAATGCCTACAATGTATTAACATAAATTCCTGCTACGATCAAGGCCGTTCCAACGAGAACGTTAGAAAAATATAAAGTTATTTAACATAAGTGGCTCTGGTTCTATGTCTGACCTTGCTAAGCTTTAACTAATTTTAAACCGACTTTAAAAATCCCGTAGTATATGTTTTTTTACAAAATTTTACATAATATGTCCCTTAAAATTTATTCCCATTACGTAGGTTTTATGGCCCTCCCTGGGTGGAAACCGTGACCCGTAAATATACTTAAACTATAAATATTCTAGATATTAGTGAAAACCGCAATAAATTCCATGCAGTAGTGGTAGTTTTTGAGTGTATCGCGAACAGACGCATTTTCCTCATAATATAAAATGTTTTTAGGCGAAATCCGAAGAGCAGTTGGCATTTGAGAAGCAATGGCTGCAGGGCGGTCATTTGTGGCTAGCTCATCGCGGAGGCTTTACTGCCGTAGTGCGAGAAGGAGATGCCGAAGCTGGCAGAATCAAAGTGAGGGTGATACAGACTGGAGAGATTATCACAGTCGATGAGGATGATTTGGAAAAAGTAAGTTTTCATTGTTAAAGTCACGATTTCGCGTATCGCAAATTTAAGAACTGAAATATTAGTAGTAAGTAGAATTTGCCTGAGATTAATGTTGTCAAACAAACACAGTCTTCAGCCGTATAGATTAATCTTGGGTTGGGTACCCATTCTCGAATGATTTTCTAGGTTTACCTTTCTACCTATTACGAAAATATTAGATTCTGATTCAATTTAAACGTGATTTTTTATTAATTCTCAATTTACCTATTTTTCAGGCGAACCCACCTCAACTGGAACGTGCTGAAGATATAGCGTCGCTGCGATGTCTAAACGAGTGTGGTGCTTTGAATCTCTTACGTTCACGCTACTCGGCCGGACTGTATCACGCTCGTGCGGGACATGCTATGCTAGTGCTAGGCCCACCCAAGCGCACCACACCAGTTTATACTGAAAAGGTAAACTAAGATTAATTAAAATAAATAGTGTCTTCAGATTTCTCTATCTGTTTCGTCATCATTTGTTTTTACTAACAGGATTCCTAACGATGATTTCCTTCACCGTCTGAGCGAGTTTTCAAATAAATTTATGCCAGTTAAAAATATCTATAAATAATAAAACAAATTATGAAATTTGATCTTGAATCTGGTTTTAATATATTCCTTTAAACAAACAAATATAAGTACTGACATTTACATTAAATTATTCTTTTCTAATCTAGTTTTGTTTTATAATTAAAGTTTAAATTAGTAATCCTACTGAACCACTGATGGATAAAAGTACTTACTGCATTTTTTCTAAATACATTAAGAGGCTATTAAACCCACCAACACGTTCCAGGTGGCCGCAATGTTCCGAGGATGTCGTATGGATGATATGCCGCCGCATGTCTTCGCTGCTGCTCAATCGGCCCACAAATGTATGCTTGCGTCCAGGAGAGATCGGGCAATTGTCTTCTTGGGAAGGTAATTGTGATTCATGTGCCTTATACTAATCTTCTTCCTATCCGGTACACTCTTGACAGAGCGGTCGTGATCGCTATGAAGAAGTGGTAATAGAAGAAGCAGATGTGATGCGCTTCACGACGTTTCGCCATCGTTGCCCATTAGAGCTCATCCTGCTGCACTGATTGAGTGAATCTCCTACGGCAGACTTGATTTGGTCAGTCCAACGCGTAGGTGACCTTCCGCGCGGTCTAGTGCCTTCCACCTTCCCCTGGTACCCCCCTTATACTAATCACACAAGCGATATTCTTCAAGTGATGGACTGTATAAGAAAATTTTAATCGTAAAGGGACAAATGACGCCCTCACTGGCAGAATAACTGAACAAACCAACTTGGAATCGTACCACTAATTTTACACCATATTCTGCCAAGTGAAAGTATTTAATTTAAAATACATTGTTACTTATTTAAATTAGAGTACAAAGGTAATGTACTTCTACCGTTTTGGAAATATTGAAGAAGATGGTAGATTGTTTGTTTTAAATAAATATCATAATCATATATTTCTCGGTCAAACAATTCTAAGTTAGTTTTATTGATCATTTAATAATGTATGTGGTATTTAATTAGTATTACCTACTGAATAATTTCTTGGTGACCTATACTTGTGAAACAAAAAAATCATTAACATATTTACAAAAATGTATAAAAAAGGCTAGTTTATTTAATTACTAAACAATACTTTTCAGATCTGGTTCGGGCAAGACAACAGCGATGAGGCATTGCGTGTGGTACTTAGCGAGTGTGTACGCAGCACAGGGATCCAAACTTACCCCAGAAAGACTTGGAGCTGCCTTGGATGTTCTACACATTTTTGGATCCAGTCGGTTAGTAGCGAAAATATGTTTGAAAAATGTATGCCAACTCATTCATGTAATTAACCTTCATTCTAAGTAAGTGTATTTATAATAAAAGCCAGCTTTCTGCAGACTTACGATGTCTATTACACTGTAGCTATTACGTGGTCTGACCGCATGTTAGAACGACCTATCTGTTTTTTTTAAATATGTGTATATAATAATAATATAAATGACATATAATTTTTTTAATTTTCTTGAAATAACGTAAATTGTCGAAGTGTTAATTACAATAGAAACAGCAATAAGTGACTGCTATTAAATTTTTCCATAAAAAGAGTTACATATTTTAAGATATAAAAACGGCAGACATTCTACGATCAACTTTTCAGAGTAAATTTTGATTAAATTATTGACGAATGCGCCAATAGCCTAGTACTTAGATATCTACGTACTTCTTAATTTTACAGAACGAACTCCAACACATACGCGTCACGGTTTGTATCGCTGACGTCTTTGGACTTTGACGGAGGCGGCGCACTTGTCTCCGCTTCAGTACAGACTCTTCTTCCTGACTTCAGACCAGAACAGGCCCATCTCAGAGCTTTGCACATGTAAGTAGTATAAAAGCATTTGAGATGATTTTCTATAGTAAAAAAGTATATAAGTTTATTGCTGCTTGCGGGAAATCGGGGAGTTGCAAATTTTGGCAGTGGGTACGCAATCTAAGACATTTTATTTAATTAAATTATTGATTGAAATAAATATTCATCTATCTAAAATGTAGTATTATAACAATTAAACCCCACAAAAATTGGCAGACATTTTTAGAAACAGACAACTTTGGATGAAAAATAAAATAACTTGTGTAATTAGAAACTAAGTTATACCAAGCTATTATTTTGATTTTATTCCAGATTATTCCATGGATGCGATGGACGTCTTCGTCGCGAGCTCTTATTAGACCAGGCTCCAATTAATGCTCCAAATCCTTATATAAGTTGTAGTGAAAAGGCAGATGCTCCAACCGAATTCATAGCTTTGAAGGAGGCTTTTCAATTCTTAGGAGTCACAGAACAAGAGCAAATGGCTGTGTGGAAGATATTGGCTGCTATCTGCCATTTGGGATGGGCCGGGGTTGTCAAAGGTTGGCAAAAATTACAGTTTTATTTTATTGAAGTGAAACTTCTTTATCGGGGTTGGAAAAAATTTAGTGTAACATTTTTGCGTTACGCGTCACATTTTCCGTTACGCGCCATGTTGCTTTTTGAAGTCAAACTTCTTTATCGGCGTTAAAATATGACATATAGTATGTTTTTGACTTTGAAGTTTGACAACGGATTACATTTTCGACTTGAAATTTGCTAATCGCAATTTGCAGCAATTAATTTGTCAATTGTATGCTAGGCAGTGTATCAAAATTTACTGTGTTTAAAGAAATAAGTTCTAATAAGGTCATAAAGAAGTTTCACTTCTTACGTGTGTACACCTAGTACATGCACACATTTTTTTTTATTATTTACTGCTTTTGCGAACTGCGTTTCTCTTTGATATGATTTTCTTACTTAGCCTACCTTTGTTGTAACTAGATACCAATATATGGAACATTTTGATACGCTACCTCATAGAGACTATTCGCTTTTCCGGTATAAAAACAAGTTTCTAGGTTTTTCTGTTCAATTTTTCCAACATTTCTCTCATAAAAATGTTCCTCATACTTCAAGAATAAATAAAAAATACTCGAATTGGTCTAGCCTATCTTCGAGTTTTGCGCTTAGCAACATATTTTGCGATTCATTTTTATTTATATAGATTATAAAAGCTAAAGCGAAGTTAAACTTTGTAGTGAAATTATTCATAGTACCTACCCAAGTGCAGTTACTTTTGTTTGATTTTAATGGTTTGTGAGGGTGCCATTTTACGCAACTTTTTTGTATTAATATATCATATACTTTTATAAAAACTGTATCTTGCCGGATGTAATCGTAAATTAAAAGTAATTTATTTTAAAAAAACATAAATTATAGCCATGTGAAACTAAATAATAAATCATAATTTGTCCAATTATTTAAATTTTCTTCTAAATTCGCAAGACTTGCATAGAAAATAATATCAACTTATATTTATACAGGCAATACGGGTCTAAAGTACCAGTTCGCTAGTACTGGATGTGCGACGCGGGCTAGTCGCCTCTTGGGCGTGGGAGTAGAGGAATTGTCTCGGGCTGTGTTCGCTCCTCCCGCGCCGCCTTCCCCTCAACCTGCGCATGCGCTGCGGTAAGTCGATATGTTTTATACGTAAGATCATCCATCTGTTTGTCAAAAAAAACAACCGATGGGGCATCCGTTAGGTCTTGGCTTCAGATTTCTGTATTTATTTCTTGATTATTTATTACCCGCTATCAATGCTATGTGTTTGTTTTCTTAAGTAAGTGATAAGCCTTTTGTGCCTGTCATTGTTGTTGTCCTTCACCGTATGAGGGACTGTTTGTACGTAAAAAATCAATTCTAGAACAGCTGCAATTTAAACCCTCGGCCTAGGTTCGAGAGGTGTACGCTCAAAAAAAGTTGACCGCTTTATAAAAAAATTAAAAAAGCAAATTACTTAAAACTGCATTGTTTTTTCTCGTAACCTCAAAATAGGCCATACATTTCTACATTCCTCCATTTGATTTATCATTTAGAAATCAAGACTTACATCTAATACTGCTTCTATTTAGAATGTCTGAAAGTATAGCTATGAATAAATAATATAAAAATACTTAAAAGCATTTGTGCAAAATTATATACATTTATTATACATAGGTTTGATATTTTTGGTCGTCATTTTTTTGTTTATTTTCAGAACCCCATCACCCTCCAACGAAAGAGATTTACCAGGGTCAGATTCATTAGAAGCTTTCGTCACTGGACTTTATAACGAAACATTCAACATTGTCGCGGCTTTGATAAACAGGCGAGTACACGTCAAAAGATTTATACTACTTTTTTATTGGACCTTGGGCATTACAATCTTTAGCCACGCACCACCACTATGTGGAATCAGCTGCCCACCGAAGTATTTCCAAACCAATTCGATTTAGGGTCCTTTAAGAGAGCGTACCAATTATAAAAAGGCCGGCAACGAGCTCTCTGGCATTCAGTGTGTCCATAGACAGTGGTATCACTTAACATCAGATAAGTTTCCAGCCTTTTGCCTCCTGTTCTATATAAAAGCCTTATTAAAAATAATAATTAATTTAATTCTAGGCAAATTGTTAATTAAATGTAAATTTAAATAGTGAATAGTCAACAAAACAAAAAATCATAATCGTTTTAGTGATCCAAAAATCCTAATGTTTTAATACTAATACTTGGAGAAACGAGCGAAAAGTGCGCTCAGTATTAACACTATCTCACTAATTAAAAATATTTAACAGACGATAATATATTTATTGTTATCTCCTATTCCTTAAGTAAAAGTGTCTTTAGGTTGTATTACGTTCATAAACTAATATGAACATTTTTTCCAGTTTTTTTAACAAAATATTTAGGAAATCAAAGGAAAAGAAGAGTATATAGAGCATTGAATCAAACCTTGCAATCATAAATAGATAAAAGTATGTGCAGAAAGTATGTAAAGAGAACTGTGGTGCGATTTCAGCTTGTAGTTTAAAACTCTTACGTCATTATGCTTAGTATGACAAAAATTAACGTATTTTTTGGAGTAAATAAAATGAGGTTGCAAACAAGAATTATAACAGTTCTCGTAACCGCCGGGCCACTATAAACTCTGCACGTTTTATAGAAAAGTGTTTGGTTTTTATCTTGACTGGTGTTTGTGTAATAATATGCGTAAGAGATAACTCTGCCATATTGAGCCCTTATTTACCCTTTCAGGAGTATATCCACATCTTGTCGTACGTCAGCGTCCATACTATTAGTGGACACACCTGGTGCTGATAATCCTCTATGCGCCGGACAACAGAGCGGAGCACCACTGTCCAAACTACTATCTAACTATTTACAGGTTACTATCAATAAGTTAACAAAAAAACATACAAATAATTAATATAAATTTAATTATAAAACTAAGCTTATACAGACTGTAATTGAAGAACAATTGTCGTTAATAATAAGTTTTGGTATTAGTATAAGATCCCGCTATACAACGACCTTCACCGAGATGCTTATTTAATGAAACTTATTTTATATTTAATTTAATATGTCAATAAATATAATCCATATGGGTTGCCTAGCAAATTTCAGTGCAGAGTATGTTTAATTAATATTAAAAAAAAAATTTTTTTTATAATTTGCATGTAGTAAATTTTTTGAACTTTTTTCAATCAATATTTTTAATCAGGGTAGTATTATATATGTATCACTATAACCTTCTTTTATACTAAAGATGTATATATACTTTAGTGTCACATAAAAAATTTACACATAAATAATTAATTGATTAAAAACAACCTAACGTTTGCATATTCTATGGGCTTCATACGTTCGATTGGTATAGAATTTATCTAATAATCATACCGGTGAAATGTTTAAAAAAATATTTTTTTTTAAATTAATTAAACATACTCTGGACTGAAATTTGCTAGGCAACCCATATGGATTATATTTATTGACATATTAAATTATATATAAAATAAGTTTCATTAAATAAGCATCTCGGTGAAGGTCGTTGTATAGCGGGATCTTAGACCATATCGGTTTCCTGTTCTGTATCACATAATTCTGTTACGTTTAATAATAATAAAATCATACAGTTAGTTGTAAATTTGGACGACGACCTGGTGGACAGAAACATTGTCTTATTTATATTTCCACCATTAGTATAAAATTCTTTTTAAATAAAGTTTAGAGCAGTGTTGGCCTAGTGGCTTCAGCGTGCGACTCTCATACCTGAGGTGGTAGGTTCGACCCCGGCTGTGCACCAATGGACTTCCTTTCTATGTGCGCATTTAACATTTGCTCGAACGGTGAAGGAAAACATCGTGAGGAAACCGACATCTTCACCATATTCTTAGACCCAAAAAGTCGAGATTTAAAATTGATCATGAAACAAATTCAGAAATCTGAGGCCAAGACCTAAAGAGGTTTTAGCGCCACTGATTTATTTTATTTATAAATAAAAAGGTTATCGAAACTAATATCATAATATTATAGCATCATAATGCTGAAGAGTTTGAACGCTAATCTTAGGAACTACTGGTTCGAATTAAAAATATATTTTAGTTAAAACTTAAAAATTATAAATTATATATTATTTATAATTTGTAAGTTAAGTTTGTAGGAGGTGATCTCTACTGGACCGATTTTGAAAAGTCTTTTAGCAATAGAAAATGATTCCAAATGAATAAACGAATTTGACTTTATATATTTTTACAGGAACGTCTTCAAGCTGTGTTCCATGAAGCCATGCTAGTGGCGCCTCGAGAACGATATGCTCAGGAAGGCATCACACTTGATGACGGCACTGAAGAGGGTATTTTTGCTTATATGATAATTTCGATTTATATTTAAGGATCTTTAAATATAAAGGACTCACCTTCCTTTGTGATCCTATCTCCCCGAAAATATTCCTAGTTGCTTTGGAAGGCATTTTCCGAAATATCAGCTGGGATCAAGTCGGTATAAATATTAATGGAAGATTACTTAGCCACCTTCGCTTTGCGGATGATCTGATTCTTTTTGAAGAAAACCCAAAAAAACTGCAGGTTATGATTGAAATGCTTACAAATGAAAGTATCAAAGCTGGACTAACCATGAATACAGAAAAAACTAAGGTGATGACAAACTCTATCAAGACAGAAATCAAAGTGAATGGAAAGATATTAGAGTATGTAGAAGAATATGTTTACTTAGGGCAAATAATCTCTCACGAAGACCAAATGTCTAAAGAAATACACAAAAGAATTGCTAATGGCTGGAGAAAATACTGGGCAATGAAAGAAATAATGAAGAGCAAGGCTATGAATATAGGTCTAAAGAAAAAAGTATTTAATACCTGTATACTGCCCTGTGTTACATACGGATGTGAGACTTGGTCCCTTACACAGTTACACAGGAAAAAACTGTCAACATTCCAGCATGCAGTTGAAAGAAGTATGCTCGGCATCAAGAGGAAAGATAAAATTCGAAACACCGACATACGGCGTAGGACAAAACTAACCGACATACTGATCAGAATAGACCAACAAAAATGGAGGTGGACAGGACACTTGATGCGTTCTTCTTCTTCTTCAAAGAACAAATGGAGCAACATCGTCACACACTGGTATCCACGTAACGGCAAGAGAAGTAGAGGACGGCAATACAGACGATGGGAGGACGAGCTAAAACTGACAGCAGGCCCAAACTGGAGGAGAGTCGCCTTGGACAGAACACAGTGGAAAGAATTGGAGGAGGCCTTTGCCGAAAGGCACACTGTAATTAGGGATATTTTATAATTTTAATTTATATATACTAACTTTAAAACTTACAGTAATAAAGGCTATTTATATTTAAGGATCTTTAAATATAAAGGACTATGTTATATATCATATATAAAACTACTTAAGCGGTTATACACGCGATACTTTTATTTTATGTGCCTACCTCTTCGTTTACCAAAAACCATCGTTTCTTCAACGCCCAATGATAATAAAATAACACCAGTTTTATTAATTATATTATATAGTCAAATACCAGTATCACAATTCAACTAAAACTAACTCACCGTGTTTTATTAATTAAATCAATTGTTTTAGATTGGCTCTCAGAAACCGTCAGCCCAGCTCCGATGGTAGACTTACTTGATAAATCACCGCAAAACAGCATCGTGCGCAGCTCGCAAGCAGATTTGCGGGATTGCGATCGTCGTGGTCTGTTATGGTAAGTTTTCTTTCGTTATTTAATTTAAAAAAAAATGCAAATTGTCAGTCATAAATCTGCTACTAACAGATTTAAAAGTAAAAAAGTCTATAAGCATTTTTTTTCAAGCAAATTTGTCTTTACTTCTCACGTCTCAAATACAAAAAACAAATTCATACAACTTGCCACTTGTATCTAACTACACATTCAATTAATTTAATTTATAACAATTTTAAAAATTAATTTATAGAGAATTTAATATTCATTAATTTTAAAGGCTTTTGGACGAAGAGTCGATGTACCCGAATTCGTCAGATGATACATTCCTAGAACGTGTGATGACGCACTATGGGCCTCCGAATCATACGCAATATCTTATCAAAAAGGCACCGCTTGTTCGACAGTTCAGCTTACAACATTTGCAGGTATTTTTGAAGTTATACTTCTTTAGGCGCGTTATGAAAAATTGATGAGAGTGAAATTTTACGAAGCGCGCACCGTGACACAAAATTAGATTATGTTACACTTAATGTAAGAAAATAATAATAAATATTTATTTATTTAATTTTTCCAATGTAAACTGAACTTTATTGACTATAATGACTCCTTTTCCAGTCTTTGATTATTTAATTGTAATTAATTATTTGCATGCAATCAAAAATTATTTTTAATAATGCCAAAGAAGTATAACTTCTTACGCGCGTACATAAGTACACGCACCCTTTTTTTTATTACATCATACCAAAACACAGATAATTTATTTATTAAGGAAACAGTCTATACAGTAAAGATAAAAGAAAAGTAAAACATAAAATAAACACACTGGACATATCACAAAAAGTTTCACTGATAAAAAATATAATACAAAGCAAAACAAGACAAAACATGGCAGAAAAAAAAATATAAATTAGGAGAACGACAAACAAACTAGTAGCTAGTAATACTGGGCGTCGACATGTCGAAAGACATTCTTGGTACTGAGATAATATTTTTCTTCAGGGAACGAATCCTGTATTATATGACGTTACTGGTTGGGTAAAGGCAAGCCGCGAGAATCCCGTTACTAAGAAGGCGCATGCGTTGTTACAAGAAAGTCAAAAGTAAGTTTATACCAATTTTACTGTATTAGATATTTAAAGTATTAGAACTTTATTGTATTTTATGTAAACGTCTACAGATTTACAAAGCGAACTTTTAAATTTAAAAAAAATCACTGGTCTTACCAAATAATTGCTTATAGTTTTTGCGTATAGTTGCAAAAGTTGTAGATTTTTTACTGCAAACAGTGCTGATGTTAGTTCCGCGTAAGTAATTTTTTTTATTTTAGTTCTCAAATTTTATAGCATCTGGCATACGTTTATTTTCTTGTTCATTATTTATTGGTTCATCTGCGAAAATATAAATAAGACTTGTTTACATATTAAGGTAAATTTTCATGTTCACGATTTGCAGATTCGAGTTTTTTTGAAATCGTGCTATTTTTTACTTTTATTGTAATTGTTCTTACATTTTCTTTAGTGAGGAGATAGTGCGCGTATGGACGTGGTCGCGCGGTGCCTGTGGCACAAGCACGTGGTCAGCGGCCGTCGGCGACGCGTCTACGTTACGACGGGCGTCTTCCATTCGACGAACGCTTACAACTGGTAAGAAAATAGTGTCATTAAAATAAAAGTAAAATCCCGTTGTTTTTCTTTAAAGTGGTTAACCTAATTAGTTTATATAAATAAATTGTTAAAATACTTATATTTTTAATTATAAATAAATATAACTTTCGTTTCGCTCCGAGCTGCGTGGTGTTTATTCGATATCGTATCATTGGTGAAATTTCCTATAGATATATATTATATTACTGTAGTATGTTTCTCCACAAATTTCTCGGAAATTAAGTAATGTTGAGGTGAGTCTGATAATTATTATTTGACTATTATATAATATACTAGCTGACCCGGCAAACGTCGTTTTGCCATGTATGTTATTTCTAGGAAACATTTATTTAGTTCAATAAAAATAACTATCTACTATAATAAAAAATAGGGGTTGGTCGTAGAGGGGTGACAATTAAGGGTTATATGTATTTTTGTTTGTTGTATCATAAAATATAAACACAAAAACTTTTGTCTAAAAATTAAAAATTTAAATTTAGGGGTATACTTCACATATAGGGGGATGAAAAATAGATGTTGCCTGATTCTAAAACTCACTGAATATGCATAAAAAATTTCATAAGAATCGGTCGAGCCGATTCGGAGTTTGGGAACGAACATTGTGACACGAGAATTTTATATACTTATTAGATTTTAACTTAAGGAACTGTTTTTGTCGTATGGGTATGCACATATTTCTAAATGGGGAAGGGGAGACGTGTATGAGATTGATACCAGTTAAACAATGCTACAAGGTATTTGTCGGTTTAATTTTTCTTAATTATTATATGTTGTACATCAGGTGCAGCGGGTATGAAGCGTAGATCGTACGCTTTGCAGACTAAATTCGTAGCGGACGGCATAGTGGATACGCTACGACGATGCGGAGCGGGCGGCGTACAATTTGTATGCTGTCTTCTTACGAACCAGCCCCGAGAGGCCGCCGATGACGTTAATGTACCTCTACTCAGGTCGCAGGTAAGTTCAGTATTACTGAATCTTCCCCAGAAGTGATTAAACCTAGAACTTTCTTTACCGGCGTCGAGACGTGACTGAGTGAACCAACAACACGCGGAACCAGGTGCAATCGAAACATCAAGATTAAAGGTTGCTCAAAAAATATTCTTAATAGGCCAACAACCCACTTGAGAGTCTTCGGGAAGTGTGAATGTTAGCACGCATCATCAGACAAGACTTTTGCTTGACCCTAATCCTGATGATTATTTATCAATTATTGTATTCAATAATTACGTAGTTATGCAATATATATATACCTCATATAGTAAAACCATGTTTATCTGATACTGGCGGCTTTTTTTTTTAAACTTCAAACTAAAAATGAACAACCCAGCCCTAACGATGGCAACTAGCGTTTTTGACCGGTTTTACTTACATTGTGTAATTTTCAATAGGCGGAAATCACATTTGATGTATTCTATTTAAATAAATGAAATAATATTTTATTTATTAAACATTTATATACAATTCACGTACAGTTTTTAATAGTTAAAAAGAATCGGTATCAAATGCATCTAAATTTAATGTAGGATAACTTTTCGCTATTTCAGTTCCGCGGCTTCCAGCTACTTGAAGCTGCGAGGTTGTATAAACAAGGATTCCCGGAGCATATGCCACTCACAGAATTTGCCAGACGGTAATGACTAAATACTTTTTTCTATCTAATTTTTTCTTTAATACACATTTGTTGAATTAAAAAGCGCCGTTGCATCTTTTATTTACATTTTTTAGTAATCTATCATCAGTGCTAAAAAAAGCAAAAAAAACAAAGCGTGACCTAGGTGTATGTTATGGGATATTTACGATTACTTAACGTCATATTTATGATACATTTTATTATATTTTATTTATAATCTCGATCGATACGAGATTACGCCCTTGATTTGAGAACTGGCAGTAAATGTAAAATTAGAAGCATTAATATTTATTTCTTTAATGACGAATCACAAGTGTACATTGTGTTACCTACGTGAATAAATGATTTTTGAATTTGATATTTACAAAACGCGTTTCGAGTAATTTACGGCAATGTTCTTCTTCTTCTGTTCTTATTCCCAAAGTGTCACGTAAAAATTAAATAATTCAATGCCTATAAGGGTATGTCTATCATTAAGAATTTTATATCTTTAGAGGTTTAATTTTTTCATATAGACAATTATTCTTGTATATAGATACCGTCTGCTAGCGACTACCGAGGGAGAGAACACGGAGGCAACCAACCTCTCTGAAAGACAGATCGTAGATGACATGCTGCTAACCCTCGATTTGGATGTTACCAGTTACCGCCTCGGTCTTACTCAGGTAAGTTCATTTTTAGACAGGGCATACCTTTAAGGTTACACAGAAGTCTTAGGTCAAATACAGACTTTGAGAAGAAAGTCTATAAAATAAATCATCTTCGAGTAAATTGAAAATCGACAGTGCTTCAATTAGGCAGTACCAACTGGTTATTTAGCAAATTTGTTAAAGTTCCACCGTGCAAGTGGAATATATGTGAAAAGATCTCTAGGAAAATTTCTATAAAATATCTACACAAATTTATCTTAATTTCATTAGATTTTTTCAAAGTTATTGGATAGTTTTTTTTTAAAATACGGTATCCAAACAACGTTAATTCCTTCATTACGGTGCTTTGAGAGACGTATTTCAAATGATTACTGGCAAGATTTGTATTAGTAAAACTAATTCTAATTAATTAAAACCATTAGTTACTTTCAATTACATCTTATTAAAAGTATGTTACTTCTGTATTTAGTTGATTTATATGTTCGCTAAATTTTAATCCCTTTGAATAGTGAATGTTACTGGGTTTTATCTTTAAGATAAATTATGAATTATAATTTCTTAAGTACATTGCGTGTGTGCTGTTACAAACTTAATTAATTAATATCACATAATTTAATCGGATTTAATAGATTTACATAATAAATAATTGACTAAGTTGAATCGATTTGCTTGATGCGCAGTTTTCTTATTGCGCTAGCAAGCCCTCTACCGTCTTGATTTAACCATATGCTACCTGGTACACTTCTTGATATCGCTACGAATAACTTCCAAGTCTAGTTCCGAAAGATACTGATTCATACTAAAACCTAGGACGTGCCTAATTCGTTCCTTATTTTACTTTTCCCACGCATCACTTATGCATGGAAGTCCGTTCTGTATCGCACAGCCCGAACGTACCTAATCTATCTAAACTACGACTTGATTAGCCATTCACGAACTACCTTTAAGTGTAATAAAAGTTATAACATGGAGCTAAAAATCATCAATCTTCATTCATAAAGCTTAACACTCACATTAACACAACCTTATTGCAACTAATCGTTCTTATTTTGTACCTTAAGTATATGTTTTTATACTTATGCATTAGTAAAGTTTTTTTAAATCTTTACTAAATAAGGCCTCTAATGGTGTCCGAAAAATTTAGTTGCTCACCTCCAAATCTATATGTACGTATATCGGAAACGGCTTTTCTACGGCGATGATAAAATATATATAAATATTATAGTAGAACTTTGAGATTGTTGCCTTGCTCACACCAACGGCCTGGCATTGACACGGCCTTGCCAGCTTGTCCAGGGTACCTTGTTTTCGACTGTGTAACCTATACATTTACTTTCTTTGAAGCTGTCATTATCTTTTTGCTTTAACAAGATAACTATTAGAATGTTGCAAAATTGTCGACAATCGTGCGGAAACAGAGCATAACATGTAATTACACTTGTTTGGAACAACATTAAAAAGCAATTTATCTATTAAAATTAAATTTCTGGAATTTTATTCTCTTGGATAATGGTATATAATAAAGTTTTCTAGGGCCAAGTGTGGAAAATTACCATGATTATATAGTTATGTGTGTATTTCGTCGCTCTCACGTTTGAACCGCATTGTCAATGTCTGAACTGGCTTTGTTTATTAAAGTTGATGACAGACACTTTTTTACTTTGATTATAGAATAAGACCGAATTAACATTATACACGAAGAAGGAATTTCATAATGAAGATTTGAAAATAATGGTAATTTCTGTATGCCGCACCTAGTTAAATATGTCACTTTATTAGCAAATTTACAGAGATCTTTAAAGCATCAATAAGTTCTAACAACCCCCTAATTATTTGTGTCAGTTACCCAAATATCTGATTTGGCTGCGATAAGTCACTTTTACGGTATAATAATATTTAAATTATAGACAAGCCCCGCGTGCGACTGTGACGAAAGAAGCGACCAATCGGTTTTTATTAGTTGAATGTTCTAGACTAAAACTAAAACTTTGGCTAGAGCCAGATTCGACCTGGAGCTCGAGACTGGCATGAGAAAGCTCAAGCACAGATTGCAGCTGGGACATTCAGCGACAGCATTATCCAATATCTCACTCAAATGTCAAGCCCACAGACTAGGAAAGTGCAGAATAGACACTCCTAAACATAAAAAAATACTGTGTACTATATAGAAGAAGTACTATCTTATGTAAATTATGCATACAAATTTAATAATACAAAAAAAATTACGTGATCTATTTTATAAACAAACTATTTTCTTATGTTAATTTTATTTATATGATGATATTGTGGATTATAAAAAAACAACAGTATTTTTTATTATATATCCCAAACTACCAAACTGAATAAAATATTTTATTGAGATAACAGTAATTTAAATGTTTTCATATTTGAAATTTCTCACGGTGTTTTTATGCAAACAAAGCAATTACAGAGGAAGTACGTAAACAAAGTTAAGTGAAAGTAGTTTTATGTAACCGCATTATCTAAAATACAGTTGTAAGCGGAATTTGACTTTAGCATTCTTTGTCTTATTACTAAGAAATACACTTAGCAGTACTCAGGGCAAGATCTTCCGATTTTAATACCTTTTTGGCGGGAGTCACAGCGCACATCGTATACAAGATCGTGATCTTGTATCGTAGTCTGTGCTTCTTTCGTCTTATAGCCTATAGGAACACTTTTACGGATACTTAAGGCACTTTAGTTTATAGTATATATAGTACCATAGATTCAATTGAAAGCTGAAAAATACATTTCACTATACGCATTACAATTTGAGATTACAGGCCAATTGAGTACAGCCATTATAAAAAAAATATTTATCTTTGAGTTATACTTGAACAATCGTAACCTGTCTAGTTACAATTCTATCTCCATACTAAATAACACGTACGTGCTTATCAGTATAAGATTGCCAATTTAAATAATAAAAGGTTGTTATTAGAGTGTGAAATAGGATTGATTGAGCACTCGAATTGATCATTATAAGTCCGGTTTGTTCAGGGCACATTAGTATATCTTCTCATTCAAAGCGGCGGTATTAAGTCATTGGAATGATTAAATATGATTCCTGTATATCGAATTCAATGTTTTTAACAAACTTAGCTCGAAGTGTCGACTTGAAATATCTTAAAAGGCGTGTCCGCTGAGTATTCTATATCATCTTTATAAACTATTACTATTTTAGGGAAATCGACACGACAGTCTTGCTCTCTACATAATATGTAAGTTACCAATCAAGTAGATAGCAACTAAGAAATTTATTTAATAAGTCAGTAAGTAAGCCAGTAAAATGTATGTTTCTTTTTGCTTAAATATAAAAAACGATGGTCGGGTACAATAAAAATAGACATGACACTCAGATTTCCTAGATCCTCGACTATTGATGACTAGACAATAGAACTATCAGGTACTCTTATATTTCTAATACGTCAATCAAACTTAATTGGGAGCTGTCAAATATATTGTCTTTAATATATATTTGCCAATACCATTGCGATTTAAATCCACAGGAGGTACTGTTGTATCTTAAATTATCGTGTAAAAGTTAAACTTAGAATAAACGTTAAGTTAAAAGTTAAATTATTATTGGATACCCATCTAAATACCATCTACAATAGATGCAGCTTAGCTTATCTATCTGGCTTAACGGATATCTGAAAGTCTCTGTTATATAAGTGTGAAATCGTCCAATTCCTAAATATTACAAATACCGTCTCCAAAAGTGTACTCATCTAAGTACTAGCCACAGCACATGTAGCTTACCATTGACTTTCGTTTTATCGTATCTAACGGAACGCGTTTCTGAAAGTCTCTTATGTAATCGTAGAATCATCCTATATATTATAAAAACCCTAACCAAATAGACACCCATCTAAGTACTGGCCACAGAATATGTTGCTTAACTTAGGTTATTGTTTTATTGTATCTAACTCAACGCGTATCTGAAAGTCTCTTATGTAAGTGTGGAATCATCCTATTCTCGTATTACGAAAACCGACGCGGTAACGCAATGAGTGGCCGTGGGATGAAATTGTGACCTTTCTTCATAAAAGCTATGTTAATGGACTGCTTTGTATTATATCTGGCACCTCTAAAGTTTATCTTGGCTATAGTCTCCATAGATAATCTCTATACATATAAAATTCTCGTGTCACAATGTTCGTTCCCATATTCCTCCGAAACGGCTCGACCGATTTTATGAATTTTTATGCATATTCAGTGAGTCTGAGAATCGGCTACTATCTATCTTTCAAACCCTTAAGTGATAAGGGGGGGTGTCCACTCCAAAAAAAAATTGTTTTAATTTTTAGACAATTTTTTTTGTCTAAAATACATACAACCCTTACTTTACATCTACCCTCAACGATCAACCCCTATTTTTTTATTTGTTAGTTAAGAACTTATAACTTGAAATCTGCTGTTTATATAGAGAAAAATCACAGAAAAACCTAAAATGTTTTAATTCCGGAAAACCGAACAGTCTCTGGGGTAGCATAGCAAAATGTTCCATGTTGGTATGTACTAAAAAGTTAGGCTAGGCATTAAGTTGAAACGAAGTTCGCGGGGGCAGCTAGTAATATATATAGATAATAAGATGTTATAAGCACGTTTCGCAAGCGGTTTCTTTATTGAACTTATGTTAAATCACACTCGAAGTTCCGTGTTCATTGATACCGCTATATTTATGATAGAGATAAAGGGCGTGTATCGTGAATTTATTATCACTTAAATATTCAGTCCCCAATTTTTTTTAATAATTTTAATCTTTATTTCGATTACCTAGTTTATTTAAAAAAAATTATATTAACAATGATATATAAAAAAAATATATATATCTAGGGCCAAAAAGTTTAATAAAAATTGTGTTAATTCGCTTCTTTCGAATAAATATGTCAATCAAAATGTTTGTAAATAGATTTGTCCTATTAATTTGTAATACTTTGGTTTATCTCGACTGAAGTTATATAATGTCACGTAACTAACTTGCATCACTTCGGAATAGCGAACTGGCTTTCTCGGCCTTTATTCATTACAATATGACATGTAAGTGTTACACGACCTAGTTTTGCGTACTTTGATTTACTCAAAACATTATTTATTATGCACACAACATATTGTTTTATAAGATAAAGAAATTAAATAAACATTCAAACTAATAAGATAAATTCAATAAATCCTAGAAGCACAAAACATTCATTATTATCTTCGATTGATTAAACGTATATATTTTAATAAATTATTATGCCTCTCACAAAATTCTTATTAATTTACGGAACCCTGTTTGGTCCCGAAGACATCGACTGCTTTATCGTAACCAGAATATTGTCAGAAAACATTAATGGCGTAAAATAATACTTAAATACATGCCTTCATTGTTCGACAAACAAAAAAAAATGAAAGCAATCATATCTTTTAATTAATGTTTTATCTTAATATATCAAAGTGATTCACTATTCGAGCCTATGGTACAAGACCAATATAATTAAACAGTTTGATGGTGCGGCGGATAAGTACGGCGTCTTCATCATAACAGCACCGTAAGAAATTAACGTCAAACACAATTATGAAAGTTTGATAGGTAATTTTCTCCTTAGAGACTCGTCAATATTATGTCTTTTTCGTTTATAAACGTGTGGCTATCAAGCTGTAGAACAAAATCACTATGCACTAGGACATTCTACTTATTGCGCGTATATGATCCTTAGAGTTTATATCTAAATTTCAATAATGTATATTCATTACTAGGCAGCGGTGTGTTCGTACTCAATAGACTTTATTACAATTTAAACAAACGTAAAATCATATTCAAGGCTTGTCCAAATGACACTTGCCCTGGTCACACATTTTTTTATATTACGTCGATATGTTATGATATTCTGTGTAGTTTTTTTTTTTAATCTTTTTGTGCTATTTTTTTTTTTTTTAATTTTTTTACTCTTAAAAGAGATAAGATATTATTTTTCTCGAAAGTGATGGTCAATGCTTAATTAACAAAACTTACTTTAATTTAAATGTAATAAATATTGTCAGTATAAACGTAAAACGGCCCGTTTTTTATCATTTTCTTACGTTACATTTGTTTATAACTCACTCTGTTATGGACTACAAATAATGTAATAAGGCTAACTACGTAATGCTTATGTTAGGTAAAATCAATACTTGGTTTGCTCATAACGATTTCTGTTACTTTTTATTTAGTACTGATTTTGCTAGTGTCGCGCTATCAAAATCAGTACTAACACTAACACTTTAAGTTTTGTTCTATCTACATTATTCAAAACTCTCTGACATTACCATATCAATAGAATTTATAACGCATTCTATTACAAACAATCATTACGGCTGAATATCATTATCCGATTTTTCATATTATTACTCATAGTTTCGTTTTATTACTACAGTATTAATGAATATGGTAATTTTACATAGAGTATGATTTATATTTCTTGCCGTGGAATTTACTGGAAATGGAAAATTTATCGTAGTTTATTGTTGATGGATATAAGATGATTATAATATTAAAAAGTAAAGATGGTGATTTATTAGTGTTTCCCATTATCAAGCTATATCAATGATATTTTACATAAGATTATACAAAGGAGTCTTTACACCAAACAAAACAAGATTCTGAAAAAATGCCTATCACCACAGCTATTAAAAAATCAATATACATTGTAGCGGGTAATTAATCATAAGCGAGAAATATGTCTATCTTGAGATAGACGCCCCGTTGTGAGGTGAAAAGGGCCGCACACTTTTAATACCGTAAAAGTTGACTGCGATGTTTTATCGGAGAAAACAGATGTTGTATATTAGAAACTAGCGTTAAATGTTAGAATCCTGTCTTAACTAATGTTGCCCTTGAGTGGAAAACTGGTTAAGTGTCTCCTGTTTTAATTGGTAACGATGAATGAAACAAAGTTGATTTATAGTGCCGTTAAACGCGTTTCTCGTAGCGTTTTCAATACGATATACGAAAATACATTAATACCAAATATCGTTGATCAATGGATGGATTCATATTGTCACATTTGTCGAATTCTAATAGATATTTCAGAAGTTATAAGGAAGTTTAGGCTAGCATACGTTTAGTCAGGTGAAAATGCTACAAATATATATATAAAGATTATTATCTAA